TACTGAGAGTGTTGATCTATCAAGAGAATGACGAGATTTTGCAATTATTCCAATGTTTTTGGAAATTTTTGTAGTGATTAATTGTATATGTGGGATCCAGGACAAATTTTCCTGGATAGTAATTCCCAGAAATATGGTTTGGCTAACCCTTTCTATTAGATGTCCATTAATTTTTACCTCATCCTGTGGGTCGATGTTTTTTTTCCTGCTGGGATGAAAGAGTATAAACTTGGTTTTATCTGGATGCAATGTAAGTTTATTTGCCCTAAGCCAAGAAGCAACTTTAACAAGTTCATGGTTGAGTGTGTTAATGAGAGACGTTATGTTATTGTCACTATAAAATATATTTGTGTCATCTGCGAATAGTATAAAGGATAGGCAGTTGGATGTATTAAATATATCATTTATAAACACAAGAAAAAGTAATGGTCCAAGAACCGAACCTTGGGGAACTCCGCATTTAATAATTTTAGGTGAAGATTGAACATTGTTAATTTCAACATATTGAGATCTTTGACTAAGGTAACTTTTAATCCATGAAAGAGCATTACCACGAAAACCATAAAAAGACATTTTGTCAATTAGGATGTCATGGTTGACAGTATCAAAAGCCTTTTAAGATCTAGAAACACGCCAACAGTTAGCTTATTATTTTCAAAACCATGATATATTCCGTTTACCAGTTCGAGTATAGCCATGAACGTAGAATGATTTTTCTAGAGCCATATTGGTGGTGGTTTATAATTTGAAACTTATATAGGAAATCCATGAATCTCTTATACATCACCTTTTCAAGTATTTTTGAGAAACAAGGAAGAATAGAAATCGGTCTAAAGTTGGAAAAATTATGACAATCATTGCTTTTGTAAATAGGCAAAACCTTAGCAATTTTTAGCTGGTTGGGTACACTACCATTGGCCATTGAAGAGTTGAATATGTAACACAATGGTACTGCAAGTATGTGAATACTCGTTTTAATAATAGGCGTTCTAATACCGTCTACCCCTTCACTGTAACTATTTTTCAACGAATTAGTGATAGTTATAATTTCAGAAGGGGAAGTTGGGGTGAGGAATATTGACTCATTAAACGAGCCCAACAAATAATCCCTATGATTATTGTCTGATATGTCTGTAAAATTATTTGAAAGAGAGGTCCAAACATTTATAAAGAAATCGTTAAATTTATTAGCAATTGAATGTGGATTACTGTAAGTTCCACTACCATTTTTCATAGTTGAAGGTATCCTATCCTTTTGTTTACTACCAATAACAGATCTAATAATAGACCATGTTGCTCGTAAATCTGATTTATGGTTCAAAAGTTTATTGTGATAATAACTTTTCCTGGCGAGTTTGACAAGGTAATTGTACTTATTACGATAATTCGTATAAGTTGTCTTATTGGAAATGTCAGGATTTTGAAGGTATTTTTTATATAGGTGATCTTGCAGCACGACAATCATTTTGATTTTTGTTATCAATGGTATATAATTTATGTATACTGCAATCAGTTAAGATATCGCCATTATTATATGTGGAAAGTATTGGTGACAAAACACGAATGCAATATAGCTATATGCATGCACATTGATTTTGTTCTGACTTGCTTGCCTTTAGCAGCAAATCCTCGGCAGTCTTTTCCGGTGCAAATGAAGTGATTCAATTCAGTTACACTTTTGCGGACATGGCAGTACCCGAGAGCATTATTACTTGCTGTTATAGGTCCGAACGCATATAGGCATAGATGCAGCTACATTTAGCACATCTTGTATGGAATTTCTGAGAGTTTCACTACACACAAAGTTATCTAAGTCCGGTTTCAAAATAGCGACCGGAGGAGATTTGTCACAAAACTTTACTTCATCGATATGACGACAACTAAACTCGGCTAAGGGTGATGAATTGTGTTGAACTGATCAGACAATGTTCATTGATAAAATCACAAAATATACTTGACATGGTATATCTATTCTGTGATGAAATATTCTTTTGTGCAAGTCAAAAATAGAGAAAATGTAAAAATCAGTCCAGTCCAACTGTCCAGTCCAGTCCAGTCCAACTGTCCAGTCCAGTCCAGTCCAACTGTCCAGTCCAGTCCAGTCCAGTCCAGTCCATGTTTTGTACTATGCCTTTATATTCGATAAATATATTCATTGTAAGTTCAACGTTAATGGTGTAACACTGTTTATTATATGGTGTCAGGAGAAACTACAATCATGGAACATATGAAGCCTATGGGTCCGTTAAAAATGGACGGAAATGTGGCAGAAAACTGGAGGAAATGGAGACAACGCTGGAATCTTTACGCGAAAGCCAGTGGAGCCAACGAAAAAGACGAAGAGATTCAGTGTGCAATTTTCCTTCACACAATCGGAGAAGAAGCATTGGAAATCTAAGATACTTTCACCTTTACTGAAACTGAACAAGATAAGACCGAGCCGCTCATTCAGAAATTTGAGACCTACTGTACACCAAGGAAAAACACGACATACGAGCGATATATACTTAATACGTGTGTACAAAACGGATGAAAACTCGATGCATTTATACTTGACCTTCGCAACAAAGCAAAGACCTGTGAATTTGAATCACTACAGGACAGCTTAATTAAAGATAGAATCGTTTGCGGAATCGACAGCAACAGCATCAGAGAGCGTTTGCTACGAGACAACGACCTCACGTTAGAAAAGGCGATTAGCATCGTTAGAGCCGCAGAAACAAGCAAGACCCAAGTACAAAAGTTAAATAATTCTTCGCTCGAAGTAGGATCAATTCACAAGAATTTTGAAAGAACCTCTCGCAGTAAATACCAGAGGGAAGAAACGAAACCAAGTAGAAATGTCAGCAAAACACAGCCTTGTTCGCGTTGTGGCTCAATGCACCTCATACACCAAAACAATGCCCAGCGTTTGGACAAACATGTCGCAAGTGTCACGGAAATAATCATTTCGCCAAAATGTGCCGCTCGAAAAACCTCAACACTCAAATGTCAGAAACACGCGTACACGAAGTTCGAAAAGAAGAAACTACCGATAATTCTAGTACAGAGCCAGAGGAAGACGAATTGTTTATCGGAGAAATTACGACAACAACCGCCAAAAATGCATTAATAACTAACCTCAAAGTTAACGGCAAAAATGTAAATTTAAAAATAGACACTGGCGCTCAGTGCAATGTGCTACCCGAGGAAATTTTCGACGGAATTAAGCAGAAACCACAACTCATCGCTACTGGGACAAAACTAGCAGCATATGGAGGAGCACAGGTTCCGGTGAAAGGAAAATGCGTTTTAGAAATCGAGCAAACTGCAGACCGGAAAACGGAAGTCGAGTTCTTTGTTGTCAAGGCTCCCAATGCCAAAGCACTGATTGGGTTACAAACATGTCAGAATCTTGAATTAATTAGCATAAATCAAATCAGTGAAATCCAGGAAAAGAAAGCAGACATCATCGAGGACTACAAAGATGTCTTCACTGGTTTGGGTCTCGTCGAAGGAGAATATCACATCGAGTTACAAGAAAATGCCAAAGCAACGATTCAACCACCGCGAAAAGTACCATTAAGTCTGATACCAAAACTGAAAGAAACACTTGATAATCTTACGAAATCAGGAGTTATCAGCAAATTGGATCGACCTACCGATTGGGTTAATAGTCTCGTAATCGTAGAAAAGAAAGATGGATCACAGACCCGAAAGATCTTAATAACTCAATAAAAAGAGGACATTACAAATCACCGTCCGCTGAATCCATCTCAAATCACCTGAGTGGAAAGAAAGTATTCACCGTAATTGACATGCCCAACTGCTACTGGCACAAAAAACTTGATGAAGAGTCATCCTATCTGTGTGCATTCAACACACCGTTCGGTCGGTACAAGTTCAATCGCATGCCTTTTGGCATATGTTCTGCATCGGATGTAGCGCAGAAAATGGTAGATGATGAATTTTCTGACATCCCTGGTGCACTAGCAGTACATGATGACATCATAGTCTCAGGTGCCAACACAGAGGAGCATGACATAGCTCTAGAGAAAGTCCTACATCGAGCAAGAGAACGAAACATAAAATTCAACAAGAAGAAGATCTAACTACAAGTCACTGAAGTGAAATATCTTGGCAACATCGTTAGTGCTAAAGGATTCACTCCTGATCCTGAGAAGATTAAAGCCATTGTCGAAATGCCTCTACCAAAGAGCAAGCAAGATTTACAACGCCTATTAGGAATGGTGAACTATCTTTCACAGTACATACCAAACATGTCTGAGGTCACTGCGCCACTGCGTACCCTTCTCAAAAAAGACATACAATGGTCCTGGCACAACGAACACCAGAAAGCACTCGAAAGAATCAAGAAAGTCCTCACAAGCAGCCCAGTTTTGCACTTCTACGACATCGATAAGCCTGTTATCCTCCAAGTTGATGCGTCACAAGGTGGACTGGGTGCATGTTTAATTCAGGAAGGACACCCAGTAATTTATGCATCCCGATCACTCACCAATGCTGAGCAGCACTATGCTCAGATAGAGAAAGAGCTCAATCAATCAATCAATCAATCAATCAATCAATCAATCAATCTGTTTAATTAAAACCAATTTGCAGTTTTTAAAGGAAAACTGAATTACATGGAGTACTAATATAGCATAAAAATTTATATTAAAATGTAGATATATATATATTATATAAAATAATTTTTATTTAGTTAGGACTGTTAATTAACTATAAAGCTAATAATATTTCCTAGTCACGAAGTTTTTTAACCGTTCAGTGGTTTCTGACCATAAAGGTTGTTCGGCCGTTCTGTCATTCCTTAAGTCATAATCATGAGTTTTTACCCCGGGACGAATTTCCATAATTTGGGTCAAAGGGTTGTAGGGTGAAACATCACGTCGCAGAGATTCGACGAATTTCTTGCAAGAGATGTCTCTACGAGTACTCAGATACTGTAAGTTTGAAATTTCAAGGGCTTCATCATATAACAGATCTGGATAAGCTATTCTCAATGCTCTCTTTTGAACAGATTCGAGAATGTCAGATAATGATTTAGGTATTGACGACCATACAGGGGATGCATATTCAATTCTGGATCTGATGAATGAGATATATATTTGGACGATGTCAGATGCTTGGAGACCAGCCTTTTTTAACAGACGCAATGCGTATAAGCGAGAATTTGCCTTTTTCAATACCATGTCGACATGAGTATTCCATGACAAGTCGTTTGATATCCATACACCTAGGAGTTTGAAAGAGGACACAGTTTCCACCGGTTTACCTGCAACATAGATCGGGTTTTCATCATCAGATCCTTTATATTTAAGAAAGTTGATCAACATTTGTTTGCATTTCTTATAATTTAGTTCCATTCCGCGTTCTAAGGCGTAGTCCGAGATTTCATTTACGACTAATGGCATTAAACTGGATGAAAAACGTGGTATAATCTCTAGGGCTGAGGTGTCATCCACAAACTTGATCCTACCGGGCCAGTTTTTGAGTAAGGAATTAATGAGAACAGCAAACAATAATGGACCCAACTTTGTACCTTGTGGCAAGCCACCATTTGTTTTCTTCCAAGAGGACATAGAAGTTCCCACCCGGACACATTGTTCGCGATCGCAGAGGAAGGCTTTAATCCACCGAATTATAGAGGGATGGGTACCAAGCAGGGTTAACTCTTTAATAATAACATTGTGGTCTACTAGGTCAAAACCTTTCTTGAAATCTGCAAAGAACAATCTGGCAGTACAGGAACCTCTCTCAAGAGCAACCAAGATTGAATGTAAAAGGTACACCAAAGCGTGGGTCGTTGATTTCTTTGGGAGTGCAAATTGTTTGGTGTCAAGTTTATTTACAACTTCAGGAAAAAAATTGTCCAAAGTACAATCCTCCATAACTTTGGCGATCTGAGATGTTAAAGATATTGGTCGTAGGTCGTCTTCAATACTCTTTGGGGGTGATACCTTAGGGACAGGCACTACAATAGATCTCTTCAATGCCTTTGGGAAGGTGCCTTGTGTCATGGATGAGTTGAAAATGTCTGAGATAACTGGGGCAAGCTCAAAGGCAAATGTTTTCAGGATTTTATTTGGAAACATGTCAGGACCCGGTGATTTTGTGGTTTTAATTTTACTAAGTTTCCTATAGATCTGTTGGGCGTCAACGAGGTAATGGTTTGGTACTTCTAGGCCCTCCTGGATTTCGTCGAGAGTTAGAGGGTCAAAATGTGATGTAAGGGCAGTAAGAAAGTTATTAAAATTTTCGGCCAGTTCTTCACAATTCCGAACATCATCAGAAAATAGCTGAGAATACCAAGAATTTTTTGACGAGAGACCACCAATGGCTTTCACTTCTTTCCACCATCTTGCCGGGTTAGAATTTTTTAATTTCTCAACTGACCTCATATAGTAGATCTTTCGTGCAACTTTAATGCATGATTGGACTCTGTTACGCCAATATTTATAAATATCTGAATTTTTCCCGCTTTCGTGTAAGGCTTTTTGGCGTCTCCCAATAGCAGACTTTATTGATGACGTCATCCAAGGCTTATCACACTTTCGTACTTTAATCCGTTCCAAGGGAAAGAATTTTTCAATCATCACAGTCATTGTATCGTTAAACTTTTCATATTTTGTATCACAGTCATGTATGTCCAAGATAGGAGACCAGTCAAATGTAGTGATATATCGTCCAAAAGGCCGTATCCTACTATCTCTGAGATCGCGTTTCCATATATGTGAATTGTCTGGCTTTGAGGGAGAAGGTTGGGCTTTCATAAGAATCGTATAATGATCACTGGTTCCAATGGGAGGAAGTTGGATTGATTCGTAAATATTATCCACCTTTGAGTTGGTTAAACACCAGTCTAAAGTTACATCAGCTCTGGTAGCTACTTTGACTATCTGCGTCAGACCAGCAATTCTTTTAAGATGGTTTGCATTGAGACCCGTGCTTCTAAAATTGAAGTCGCCCGTAATTAGGACCAAAGCTTCAGGGTGGGAATATAAAAATGAGTCCACATTGGTTTGAATGTGTGAAAGCTGCTCGCAATCGTTTTCGCATGTGAACGTTTCAACCAATTCATTTATGGGACACAAGTCACAGTACACAGCGACCACAAGCCGTTGGAAGCCATCATAGCTAAACCATTATCACAAGCACCACCGCGAATTCAGCGTCTTCTCATCCGACTACAGAAGTATCACCTAACAGTGAAATATGTTCCCGGGAAATTCCTGTTTATCGCCGACACTTTGTCAAGAGCGTACTTAACAGAAGAAGGAGAACAACAGGAACTTAATGAGGACATTGAAGTAATGGTGCACAGCATGGTTACAGCAATACCAGCATCTCCTGAGAAAATGGCAGAGCTTAAGGAAGAAACAGCGAATGATGAAACGCTACAACAACTTAAACAGCGGATGGTTCAAGGTTGGCCTGATCGTAAGCATGAAATCCCGCAAAACTTAGCTACCTACTGGAACATTCGCCATGAGTTGAGTGAAGCAGAAGATTCAAAGACCACCAGTTAGTCATACCTACAGCAATGAGGAGCAATATGCTCAACATGATACATGAAAGTCATCTCGGGATAGAGAAATGCAAAGCACGCGCAAGAGCAATCCTTTTTTGGCCTGGAATGTCAAAAGATATCTACGAGAAAGTATCAAAATGTGCTACTTGCGCCACATATAGAAGAAGAAACCAGAAGGAACCGATGATAGCACATCCAAATGATACAATACCTGAACGACCATGGCAAAAACTAGGAACTGATCTGTGTGAATGTAAGGGCAAGAATTACCTCGCTGTAGTAGATTACTATTCGAAGTTCATCGAAACAGCCCTTCTTCCAAACAAGACAGCAGGAACAGTAATTAGACATTTGAAATCAATTTTTGCAAGACACGGAATCCCAAAAGAGTTGGTATCCGACAACATGCCCTTCAATAGCAAAGAGTTTGACGAATTCGCCAAACAATGGAGATTCAAACAAACAACATCAAGCCCAACCTATACTCAATCAAATGGCATGAGTGAAAAAGCTGTACAAACCGTAAAACGGATCCTGAAGAAGGCTGACGATCCATACGTTGGTCTGATGGAGTACCGTAACACGCCTGTTACTGGAATGACATACTCCCCATCACAACTGCTGATGAGCCGCACCACAAGAACGAAGATTCCGATATCCAAAGAGTTACTACTACCGCACAGCAGCAGCTTGAACAACGACAGAACCAGCAGAAGCAGAACTACGACAAATCAACCAAACCATTACCACCACTTGAAATTGGAGAAAACATCCACCTACGCCAGGACAGTATCTGGGTACCAGCCACCGTATCTGGACTGGCCCCTGCCCCAAGATCGTATATCGTCACAACATCAGATGGACAACAGTACAGACGGAACCGTCGTGACCTTTTAAAGACCAACATTCCGCCTTCAACCATAATAGAGCAAACTGAGGATGTTGGTGAAGAACAACCGACCATTATTCCACAACCACCAGATTTAGACCTCCAGAATCCACCTAATCAAGGGCGACCAATGAGAACCACAGCGCTACCAATAAAATACAGAGACTATGTCATGAAATGAAATAGATTTAATCAAACTTTCTGAGATACTTTCAACTTATCCTGCCTATAGTAACTGGACTATTATTACCTATAGATAAACACGGACACGATTATTCGAACAGTTCATATTAAAGTTATATTAATATTTTGTTAGTTTAAGAAGGGGGATGTAATACATTGACATTGACAAGTTGGACACCCCCCCCCCCCAATTGTCTAGACATAACATCCAGGTGATCTCGTGTTCGTATTTTATCCAATCAGCGCTCAGAAAGGGTTGTCCCAATAGAAATCCATTTTGATGTATTCAGTCAATTATATCTTTCATTATTCTTTATGAAACTAGTTGAAATTTTGTAATTATGTTTGGTTATGAGAACTATAGCTCTGACAAAAATATGGAATCGAATAAAGTATATTACAGCAGATATTCAGTTGTTTTAATCATAAAATGGATTTCTATTTGACAACTAGTGCCAGTACTTTTCCGCGTATATCAAGATCACCTGGATGTCATCACGTTTTATATTCGATAAATATATTCATTGTAAGTTCAACGTTAATGGCGTAACACTGTTTATTACAGTATAGACATCATTTCAACACATACTTCATTTCTATAGCAACTTTCCTACCTATATAATTATAATTTCACAATGTTTATAAATGAATGTATGAACAGTGATATAACTAGCATAATTAATAAGCTTATACTTTTCATAAACGCCAAGAAATGCACTGCACAGCACTCTGACTAAGAGGTTGTTCACTATACTCTATACTATAATCTATTTCAGAGTCATCGTCAGAAACAATGAACAAGACCACTGATATACATATAAAACAACGTTATTAATTTAACTCCGAAAATATTTTAATATTCTAGCCGGACTAAGTTCAGTCATCATCAGAAATAATGCTAGGTTACATTTATACATCGATACCAGATGATGACTGAATCTTAGCCGAAAGCTAGAATATTAAAATACTTATTTTACCATATACATCATATATATCATCGTGTGTGTAAAATACATCATACATGCATGTTCATATTATGAATGGCCATGAATACATAAAAATATAATTATACATATAATTATACATAATATGACATATATTTTAATTGTTAAAATTTAACATAATGAAAGGCTTGGAAGTTTCAATGCAAGCAGCAAAATATTTCGATATGATCACGGCTGTGTAGTATAGTGAAATATGACACGAACGCCCTCTGGCTGATTATGATGTTCTGTCATGCTATCCTCACGCGATCTACCTTCATTTCACGAACCTCACGCAATCTTTGTTGTTATATAATTCGGTATTAATACCAACATATTCCCAAATTATATAAACCAGTACAAACTATATTTTGGACATGTTAAGATGAAAATGTTCTCGAGTGTGTATTATATAATTTCCATACCCTGCGTAAGGAGAAAGATAAAGTCTGCCGCGGCTGGGTCTTGAACCCGCGACCTTCGAATTACTAGATCGACGCTCTACCAACTGAGCTACACGGTCAGACGGATTTAAGACTCGAAATTATGAAATATATACTGAATACTGGTAGAACGTCGATCTAGTAATTCGAAGGTCGCGGGTTCAAGACCCAGCTGCGGCAGACTTTATCTTAGTCTGCTTACGCTGGGTATGGAAATTATATAATACACACTCGAGAACATTTTCATCTTATAAAACGACCTAGCCTACTCGTATTGATCAACTGTCAATTCATGATACGTCATAATAGAAAACGCATTATTGATTGGTCGACCACCACGACCACCAAATAGCATAATTCAGCCAATAGCGTACGACCTTTCGAACAGTGCGTTCTAACAGTATAAATTGCTTGCCTGGTGTTCTTGGCAATGACATTCAGTTGCAGAAATCAAGGTGGATGAAGAAGGGAGCACGGTTCTCCAGGATATACAGTTATATGCTGCAAGTTGAATCTCTGCTCTTTATGTAGCCACTATTACTTTGGGTTTTCTTTAATGAAAGCAATTATTCAATGCACATTAATTGCTATAAAGTGCTTTAAGAGAAATGTTTCCAATATGTGTGACTTAGCTTCTGACTCTGCTAAATTTGTATAAAAATGATCTATCAAAGTCTGTAATGAAAGCAGACACAGATTGTCTATAGTTATGATCATTGATAAAGAAATTATGTAACCTTACGAAATTATATAGCCTTCTATTGGTTTTTAAATTGAGAAGTACATAAACATCAACACTTACAACTCGATATACACCTACAACGGCAACATGTGGAAGAATCATTACTTTCATAGTTTCATAATAGTATTCTCAATGCCATTAGTCAATAATTTTCTTGTCAAAAATTGCGAATCATTTCGTTTCCACTGCGTATTAAATGATGAAATCCTTCAAATGCTTGCCAAAAATGCACTATCGACATTTGCCATATTCAGACTAGTAAAATGACGTTGTTTTGAACTGCGTTTGATCATAGTTTGATGTATAATTTGAATTGTAAATTCACAAATTGCCTTTTGTTTCCCCTTCAGTAAACCGCCATTTTGAAATTAGTATCATTACGTCATTTCATCTAGAAGCGTAACTCTAGTCGTTCCCTTATTGTTTTACGTCCACGAAAATCTTAATAACTCGCTCACGCCATCCTGGCTAGTACAACCGGAAGTTTTTATCAGGTTTTGCTAGGTACAAAGTGCCGGTTGTACTAGCCAGGATGGCGTGATTGATGACGAATCGCTTGTAAAAACGCGGACAAATACTTGCTTGAGTTACGCTTCTGCTATACCTTCCTATTCTATGTCTATACGCTGTCGTTGATTGGCTATGAGCACGCTTACAAACTTCCGGTACGCGCACGATGGCAATATATCTGCTTCGCAGATACAAAAACTGTCAGGCCAGCCCTTCGATTTAAAAATATAACTACACAGCATATAAAGTAACTATCCGCATACAAATAAGTAAATACACAAGAGACATACCTTTGAAAACAATCTCCATGTATTTTATCAGGTCTTTGGAACTTTATAATAGAAAACTTGAATAAAAATCTTTTCTCTTGGAATGTTTCGTGCTCTCAAAGGATCGAACTTGGCGCTTTGGTGTCAACAGATCGAATTACTACAACACGTGATATATTCTAAGCATGTTAATTGGTTGAAACCATTGAAACTCTGGAACTTCCACTTGTCGCAAATTATATTCAGAAGAATTCAGCAGCAGGACATTCCAAAAGTTCAAATTACAGATTTAGCAGCAAATCAAAAATTAGCCTACCCTGGTTGCCAGAGGTTCTGTGTCTCTCGCCTTATTCCCGCTCGTATTTATTTTACGCGAGGCGAAGAGAACCTCTGGTGGCACGCAATACAAATCTCTCTTCCATGCTGACGTTGCCGTTTGAGAACTTGCAAAACCGGTTTTATATTTTGTTTGAATGCTGTACTTAGAGTATATATATATATATATATATATACATTTTAAGACCTGACCAGGAACGACTGCGAAAAATGCAGCACAAGGTCCTCTGGTAGGAATTGAACCTACGGCCCTGCGATTCCGGTGCAGCGCTCTAAGCAACTGAGATACAGAGGCCAGCTGTTGAGCTGTAACCGTAACTTCATGTATATATAGGTGATCGGGTGTGCGGGTTGTGATAAGGTGGACTTCAATGATCCAGATCCAGATCATGGAAGTCCACCTTATCACTACCCGCACACCCGATTACCTATATATACATGAACTTACGGTTACAGCTCAACAGCTGGCCTCTGTAGCTCAGTTGGTTAGAGCGCTGCACCGGAATCGCAGGGCCGTAGGTTCAATTGCTACCAGAGGACCTTGTGCTGCATTTTTCGCAGTCGTTCCTGGTCAGGTCTTAAAATTTATATATATACTCACTTGGATTACAAACCCTAAGAACAGCATTCAAATATTAATACCACCAAGTGAAGTGCAAGAACAACCTCGTACCCAGGGTCTTATCTCCGCTCACCTCCCACTGCGAAAAAACCCTGGTCCATGGTATTGATCTAGTAGCATTCACCTTGATACTGATCTATAGCTTTTTTTTCACCATGCAAATTTAACATGCATGCATGCATGCATGCATGGAGACGAATGATAAAAGGTGTAGACATAACATGACCTGAAATAGTCATGATGAACATGACCGATGAAGTTGTCGAGATCCACTGATTTCTTAAAATGGATCACGAAAACTTCATCGGTCATGTTCATCATGACTATTTCAGGTCATGTCATGTGTACACCGTTTATTATATTCACCTTTTATTTTTTTTCATTATTTTTATTTATTGATAAGCAGACAATTCACTGAATTAATTAAACATTCATTAGGAATCGGTCAATTGTGAACTCGTTAATTAATCAAATTTAAAATAAAGTTTAGGTCAGTTTAATACGAGGGGTAAAGTTACTCTGAAAAAAGCGTACGAAGATTTTTGGGATTAGAAAATCCCGGCAATTTTTCTCGGGATTCTGGGATTTTTTCAAATTTAAGGGATCTTGGGATTTTTTCCAGCTGATTATTTCGAAATATTTTCCCGTATTTTTTTCCACCGAACTTTTTCCGAATTTTTTTGCGACATACTGATCCGTCGAATATTTTTTAAAACGAAATAAATCAATGAATAGCATTTTTACGCCAATTCACGATTCAAATGTTTAAATTTGATGGGATTTCCCAATATTGCAATAATTTTGAGGATTTTATTGGGCTTTTTCCAAGTATTTTATGCAATTTTTAGAAATTTCTTGGGATTTGGGGATTCTGGGTTTAGTGAAGATTTTGGAATTTTTCCAAAGATTTTTTGGGATTTTTTATGAAATGTACGAAGATTTTCAGAGTAATTTACCCCTCGGTTTATTAAACATTCATTAGGAACTGGCCTAAACTTTATCTTAACATTGATTAATTATTAACGACTTCACAATTGATCGATTCCTAATGAATGTTTAATTGAATTGTCCGGCTTATATCAACAAAAGTAACAAATAAAAATTGCATGTCCCGGTGCATGACAACGTGCTCGTCCTTCTTATTAGTAGGCAAAGTATCTGGAATCAGTACCGAATAGAGCTGACGATCACTCTATTACATGGATCGAGGCAAAACGTTACAGTATATGATTTGCCTGCATGTAAACATTCGAAAAGCGGAAGATAATAACTCAGTCAATAAGCTTTTGAAAGGACATTTTTAACTTTTTCAAATTCTTTTAAAATATTTTACTTTTAGCTATATTAGTGCATGCTTTTAGGAAATTTATTATGATTACAGGACTCGCATTGATGACAGTTCCTCATTGAATTGAAGCGATTCATCCTGTAATAAATATTCGATAAATAAATAATAAATAAAATAAAGCCTATAACGTCTCAATCGCGAAAACGAAGCTCCATAGGCATAGCCAAGGTCACGTATACTTTCCGGAATGGTGTACTATATATACGCAATTAATTATGTTCACATCGTATCATCGTATCAGTGAAAAATGCAGCTTGCCTGCAGTCCTTTCACGTCTGCAGTAAAAAGTAACATGTCGGTAAAGTAATAACCAGGGACGCCGGAACGATAATAGGGCAAAGGGGGGCGGACGCACACCAAGGGCACCTCTATAGAGCAAAACTTCAAAATCTACCGGAAATATTTTTTTTCAATGGAAATTTTTGGGCGACCCCCCACCACCCCCCCGCGCCAAAAAATTTTCGGTCAGTGTACCAATTTAGGGGTCTCAAAATATTTTCCGGACATACAAAAATTTTTCCGTGAAGTCAAAAATTTTTCCGCATATCTTTAATTTTCGCCATTTCTTCAAAATATTTTTCTAAATTCCAAAAATTTTCAAAAATTTTTATAAATATTAACTATAAATTACCTGAATCTCATGATTTTCCTACAAAAAGCATCGTTGGAAATGTGATTTATCACGTAGTATTTTACAACCAAAAGGGCGCTTCTGCCCCCCCCTAGCAAAAGGTAAGGGGGGCGGCTGCCCCCTGCCCCCCCCAGTTCCGGCGTCCCTGGTAATAACGTTATTACTTTTACTTCGTATCCAGTGCTTCCATTTTCAAGGAAATTTCCTTTTCTAAGGAAATTCTACTGTCGAAAAGGAAAATCTAAGGAAGAGAAAAAATCTATTTAGCCCACATCTTTGTTAAATGTGCTATTTTGTGCCTTGAAAATTAATTAAATCCTTTGTATTGCTACAAAATCACTGCAAACTGCTTCATGAAATTTCAAGGAATTTTCAAGGAAATAACATATATAATCTAAGGAATTTAGAGAAATTTCAATGACAAAAATGAGAAATTTTGATTTAAAAAATGGAAGCACTGTTCGTATCATCGTATCACGAAAACGGAAACTAGTTACAAAATAGACGAAGGCACGTATTCTATTTCTATAGTCTAGGCGACACCATAGTTTAAATATAAATGCAAAACGAAACTTTAGACTGTTGCAAATAATTGAGGTGGTACAAGTTTGAGATGATTTTGAATATTAATTTAAATTTGATTATCCGCGTTGAAATGAAACTATAATTAACTCTCATATGCGGTTTAATTAACGGCACGATGGAATGTTATCAGGTTTTTCTTATCAATATGTCTCCAGTCTATACCGCATAGTAGCTTAGTAGCTCCTGCTATACTTGAAAGTAATAACTCGACCTCATTCTTATTAAAGGTCAAAGCCTTCATAGCATATAAATGCATTACACTGAACCAGATAACATTAAAATGTTTCGTGCTTTCACTATAGGTAAATTACTAGCCTCCTCCACAGGCATCTCTTATATAACGAGAACTTATATAATTTAGTTATTCAAATAAAATGTGGCACTCTTCAAATAAATTGACATAAGGGAGTGGTCATAAAGTAAGTGCTACTCCGGGGCGGAGGAAATTTTTAATTTTGTGAAAAAAATTTCATACCCTCACAAAAAATTAAATTGTCGGATAATATTTGGTACCCCATCAAGATAACGGTCTCAATGTTTCATACCCCATCATAAAACGATAAGCTTACCAGGGTTTATTCATGTTGATATGACCTGGGGTGTGCTGATAGGGGTAAAAAATTCAGTTGACTAATTGCCATTATCCTATAAGTTTTATTTTTAGTAAGTTTTATCTTTCTTTAACTTAAAACAAGACGCCTGCTCAGGCGTTCACACTGGCCTGAAAATAACGAGATACGTGCTATGGTGCAAAAGGCATGAATACAAATCTTAAACCGCAAGCAAATTTTATGGACTTTTTTTTAAAAAATAAAAGACCTTTTCGGGAGACGTTAATGGTCCAAGTCAATAACTAGGAGTTACTATCGCAAGGAAAGTGCTGCCTTTTTGGCGTATGAACTGAATGCAATTATGCAAAAATTTATACTTCTACACAATTCTCGGTTATATCCCCAATGTTTCCTTCTCGTTCATCATTTAAGCCCGTTCACAAACTCATTCTTAAATTGTGTGCACGGAATACGAGTAAATAGCCAACATGAAAATGAAGCCATTGGATCAAAAGTGGATATTAAGGTCTATTACCTATTAGCTGCCAATGCACACTACTTTAGTATTAACTCTGGCTAACGCCAGACCAATTTACACTGTAACGCCAGACGATTTTACTTGTTAGTGGCAGAGTACTGTCAGGAAATGGGTTAACAAACACATCTGCCAATGTCTCTTATTAACCCATTAGCAGGCAATGCACCCTGCTTTAGTATTCTTTAGTGACTCTTCAGAATTTGTACATCTTGTATTCAAGCGCTTTCATATACAAAGTTTCGTTTGAATACGGCACAGAGTAGGAATATTTATTTTGAATTTTTCAGAATATCGGGGTTTTACTCGCACGCACGTTTATAGCTCGATCAATGCACGTGCAAATCATGCCGACCTACAGAATCGATTTCCGGTTTTTCCTAAACAGCGCGTTGTTTTGATGTGCGTTCCATGGGCCGCGCTAAAAATATAAATATTCTGTAAATACCGAAATAAAAGATGAAAATCTCAAGACACAAGCTTGAAAATAACACTATAAATAGTGTTTTCGATTCTGGTTCCAATAATATCATTACGAAAAAGATATGTCCAAAGGGGCCGAAGTTATGTTCGGCAAAATGTATGGCTAGTACGTTTACATTGTTTGTTATATTATGAAATATGATACCATACTTGTATTAAAATTCGCGTCGAACTAATGTTATTGTATTAGGCAAATGAGTAGACTTGCCACAAGTCGACCTCGAACGAAATGCGTTTCTTCGAGGTCGACTTGTGGCAAGTTTAGCAAATGAGAACCATACAATAATGGTTCTAGTTCTTGTTGGTATTTTGAACGCACGCTTTATCTTTAGTATAGCTACCACAAAGCTTTTCGCGCGGATTATATTTCGCGCAGTACTAAAATTTCCGCACCCAGCGGCCATAGCCTGTGAGAATTTACGGCTGTACACAGGTTAAGGGGCCAGCGCTACGCTAATTCTCTTAATTCTAGTACTGCGCGGATTTCAATACATGTATTTAAAGGTATATTGTCGACATTTGACTAAAACTATCGTAAGGAATTCGGAGAGTTTGTCCTTGTTTATATTCCAATATATTGTATAAATTCGCTGGGTACAAATTTATGAAATTTTGGGGTTTTCGAGTCGTTTAATTTAATACAAAAAGAAAAACATTAATTCAACAGGCAAGAAAGTCCAGAGTGCGACGCAAAAATTAACACATGCAAGTACACAACGGATATTATGAGTCCAC